TGTTGCTTCTATAGATTCAGTGCATTTGGTGGTCTAAGTAGGGTGATCAAACTATGTCAGGCACCCTCCTATTTTATCCCCTACAAATTATATTTGTTTTATGACAAGGGAACCCGCAGCCACTACACGTTGGATGCGCACAAGCTAAACCCTACTCATGTGCTCACAAATCACACATGAGAGGTATACCGCACTAGGCAAGCCCCGTGTGACGAGCTTGACCCAGAATACCAAACCCCTGTTATCGCTAGCAAGGGGTTTCAAACTTGAGACCTCCATTATGGAAGTTCCAAGCCAAACCATTTGAGCCACCCTGAAGGATATCCCCTATGAGTGATATGTGCACTCTCTATCACAGTGATATTCTAAAAAATTTGGATGAGTTCATTTGGAGTTCTCAGTAAACATGATCAAACCATCTAAGAACAACATCCTAGTATATCCTATGTGTGTTCTACTTGTACCTTTTGTTACATGTGATCATTTCTAATATTATATCTATATGACCGAACATCCATCTTATATTTACATTTTTACGGTGCTCCTTTTTGAGGATATAGTAGGGCCTTAAAAGTCCAACATTGAGTCTTATGTAACACCTTGGTCTCACAATTGTCTATCGAACTTGTCTTTCACTTTGTTAGACATCTTCGTATTCAAATCGCACCTTCATACCATTCCTCCATTTCAATCATCATGTTTGTAGTTTGATTTTTTTAAGAGAATAATTTACATCATGTTTTAGTTTTGATATGTTACACCTTCACTGGTTCACGGCATTCTCCTGACGACTAAACTTATATATTTGAGATGTCTGCATCTTAAATGTCACAATTTGGCCTAATCTCATCTCAACATCATTGTTCTTATAGTACTATACTTATATAGTGCATATATTTTACCCTACTTCTACTTGACTTATAACTCTCGCCTTTTGAGTAAGTATCCAAAATTCCAACTTTTTACTGGCTCACTAGTTCTAATTATAAGCTAAACTATAACCTCAAGCCATATCTCTGGTGTGAAAAAATAAATAAAAGTTCGGATAAGTTGGTACTCAAGAAGGCTTTTATACATGCATTTTTCCAACTTGAGCCAAGGGTCTATCAAAAACAACCTCTCTACCTCACAAAGGTAGAGGTAAGGTTTGTGTACACTCCACCCTCACACCCTCCCGGCTTCCACCCTCCCTAGACCCTACCTTTGGGAACATTGGGTATGTTGTTATTGTTGTAAGTTGGTGCAAATCCAGTTACAGAAAATTCCTCCATATCTACTCTCATTGTTTTAACACTTGTCAAAGATCCATTGATTATAAGTCTTTCCCATCTATACATTTTATGTGAAATCATTATTTCATAAGCACTCTCTAAAAGACTTTCATGGCCTTCTAATCATATGTTTTCTCTATACCGATGACAATATGTTGGAGATTGTTCATTTCCCTATAAATTTTTCAACAATCTTCTCACCAAAAGAGTATCATCTTCCCACAAAAACTGAATAACAAAATCCTTTTTCTGCACGGGTAACTGCCTAAGAGGAAGAAAAAAAATCAGAAAGATCATTTGTACAAGTATAGAAAAGAAAAAAAGCACAGAAAAGGTAAATTCTTTAGCTATTTCTAGTTTGACTTCACATAATAGTAGCACTCAATTTCCATGATTAATTCCATACTGATCATATAATATGATTGTGTCATCATAAGGTAGTAATCACCTCCATAATTCAACTGTCCTCATAGGTGATCCTCCTTTTCTAAATTGTAAAATGTGAAGAATCACAACACAGTAGGCAAAGAAAAAAATGGCATAGTTGTCATCTTCCAAATATAATAATAACTAATACATACCCCAGAAGAGTAGGTAAGTAGGTAACCACCAACCCTAACACCCATTTCAGTAAACCAAACAAAATAAAAATCACAATGTGAGAAAGAATAAAAAACTAATTTTTTTAATACGTATGAAACAGTAACTAAATTTCATTTCATACTATGATATGCAAGAGATAATAAAAATTAATTATATAAAAAAGAAAATAAAAAGAGATGGGATCAACACCATTTCGTTATCAATAACACATTAGCAGAATAGAAAATAAACAGATCAGAAAATTTAACAGTTACTTCCTGTATCCCAATTCATTTTTTCTTAATTTGATCAATTATTGAAACTTGATTTGACTTTGTGTGACAAACCAAATAATACTCCTGTGAAATTGTATGATTCACCATTATTACCTTCAAAGGAAGAAGCATCCATGGCTGCAGGTCCAAAACAAACCAACCTTGCAGCTTAGCACCTGAAACAGCACAGATGTGATAATTTTGACCAAATATTGAACAAACAGAAGATAGATATACACAAAAACGTATTGCTCATCAGTTTCATGTAGCGTTAAAGAAAGAAAATGGAGAAACGAAATACCAGAAAAAGGAGATTGGAATTGGGGTCAGAATCGAGGAATCCATGAAGAGAGATGGGGTCTTCAACGTGGGCTTTTCGGTACCCGAAGCAGTAGTGATAGAGAGAGGTAGTGGTGTCATCTAGTGGTTGGTTACAAGAGGTGCAGATTTGGAGGACTAAAATTAATATTATATTTATGATAATAATAATAATAATAATAATATGGGCTAGTAATTACGATACGTAAGCCACGAACTATAGGACAAATTTTAAAAAAAGATGCTCTTAAGTGATCGGAGAAAAAAAAATGATCTCCATGACTATAAAGATAGAATGTAGATATAAAGTAGCACATGTTGTAAATAATATTTGTAGTTGTGGACGATCATTATTCCTTTTTGTTGAGTAGTGATAATATTCATATCTTCATTATTTTTTTTATTGATTATGTATAATTGGCATATGTGAAAAGCTTGATTAATTTATGATATTTTGTTTGAAAAATATTCATTTATGTCATTATTTTTTAATTTAAATTTTGCAAAATCATTTTTAATTTCAGCAAAATCTCAAACAACTTTTTCATTGGAGTTTTAGATCAAATGTACTCTTTTTGTTTCTTTTTTCTCAAGAACACATGAAGAACGGCAAGAACTCTCAAATTTCCAATTTCTTCAATTATTCACGAGATCATCTCAAATTTCAAGAGTAGCTTCTCTCTGAGTTAGATACCAAAACTTAATATCTTTTGAGGTCGAATTCAATCTAACTCAACAAGATCTACTTGAAATTTCTTCAAAGTTTTAAAACTAGAATATCCTTTAATGGTAGAGTTTTCTCCACAACTTGAAATCACTTGAAATTTTGATTATAGACTAAAAGAACACCAGTAAGCAAAGATCTAGTGTCAAAAATAACAATAAAACACGAATCAAAGTCATTTAAAAAAAATATTTTTCTAATAAGGACGATTTTTTTTAACTCCACAAATGATTTTTGAATTTTGGCTTTTTAACAAAAAATAAATAAAAATTAATGATGTAACTGAGTTATAATTGGTCACGTGTAAAAAAATGATTTTGCAAAATCGGAGTTATAAAATAATGGCATAAATGATACTACTAAAAAATTGTCAAAAAACGACGGCCAAAAGCGACGGACTGCGTCGCTTTTTTGGTCAAAATCGACGGAAAAATGACGCAGTCACCTCCGTCGCTTTTTAAAAAGCGACGGACTGCGTTGCTAAAAAGCGACAAACAGCGTCGCTTTTATTAAAGCGATGGACTACGTCGCATTTCAAAAAGCGACGGACGGCGTCGCTTTTCAAAAAGTGACGGACTACGTCTCTTTTTTACTTTGTTTTTTTTTTTTTTTTAAAAAAAGCGACGGACTCCGTCGTTTTATTTTTATTTTCATTTTTTTTATTTCTAAAAGGCGACGTAGTCCATCGCTTTTGTGAAAATTTTATTTTTGAAAATCCCATAAAAGCGACAGACTAAACCACACTATCCGTCGCTTTTTCTGCAATATATTTGACAGTAGCAGCTCGCAGCTTCTGCTGCCCACCTGCAAATGCAATTCAATTCAATTCAATTCTACACTATTCAGCCCAATCAAACACACACAATTATAAACAATCTAAACAAAACATAAAACAACAAACTTAAAATAACATTCAAAAGTATCTAAATCATAAATTAAAGACTTATAAAGTCTTTTAAAATTCGTTTCAAAATTTTAAAAAGTTCATAAATGTCCAGAGATCTA